ATGTCTCAGATATTTTGTACAGTGAATCTCACAATCAAACCGCCCCACTCTGGAAAAAGATGTGATTTTTAAATTGTACTAACTGACCATAACTTCAAGGAAAACTCATCAAACAGCTCCAGCAAAATCTCATACTGCATACTCTTATCACATTGCAGAAATCATGTTGTTCAGAAGAAACACGTTTTGCTTTACATGCGTTTCTCCAGAGCACAGAAACTCTTTGTGTGTATGCTTGTTTTTTTGTTTTGGGAGTTGTAATCCAGAAATATAATACCCCAACTCTGAGTTTATCTATTGATGAGCAGCCAACGTTTTGTTGAGGCTGTTACGGCAACTGAACAGAATCAATTCCAGATGTAGGGTGAAAGCAAAGTCAGGAATAAAACAGGGAAACAGCTCAAAACAAAGGCTGGGGAGGAGATGCTCTTGAGCTTCTGAGTAAGAGAAGCCAAGGAAAGCTGTAGTTCTGTGCACATTAGTCCAGAGTAAGCCCCTTACAACCCAGTGAGATTTACTACTTCTGAGTAAACATGTGTAGTACTGGATCTCTATCACATCAAACAAGCCATCAAGGCAAATTTGCTTCACAGACGGGATTCAAATTTGGGAGCCGACAGGGCAATGTTACGACAGGTCCGGCCATTTTGAGATGACGCTGAAGATTTAGATCTCTTTGAATCCTTTCTAGTTTGGCTTCTCGCCTAATTCCAGGGAAGACACCGCCTTGTTCACTATGGTCGAAGATTAATTCTAAGGAGTGGGTGGGGGAGTGTGATCCTGTGACCTTTCCTGGATCTTTCACTGGCATTCAATAACTTTGGCTGGAAATCTGATAGTAGTTGGTGTTTTTGTTTTGGTTTTAAGATTGCATGTTTAAGTCTCTTTTAATATTATGAGTTATTGCTTCTTTTGAACCACTTTTTAGCCGTTTTAGGTTCTCCCATTGGGAGAAGGACAAAATAGAAAACTATCATCTGTAATCTTAGAACTGCAGAGTTGGAAGAGACCCTACGGATCACTGAGCACAGCCTTCACCAAGGAGACACAGCGGGGAATCGAACTCCCAACCTCTAGCTTTGTAGTCAGATGTCAAAAACCCCTGAGCTATATCCTCCTGGATTGTCTCTTTGAGATGGCATGTGAAGGCTCAGGTCCCAAGGCCAAGGAAGAATAGACAGACCAAGAAGATGGGGAGAGGGAACTTTTTGCTCCACCCCTTAGCCACTGGCATTTGGGGTATCTCACCGCCACTTGTGCGAGAAGTCACCCAGAGGTCTTGTGCTCAGGCATCATTAGCTTGCCGGTGGCACTCAGCCCTGCCCCCACTTCCTTTTTCACTGTCTAACCTATCGGGAGTCTAAAACTCCTGAGCAGGTATCTGGGGACAGTATTAGAAAGGAAGAAGGTCAGTAAGGTGAAAGACAAGACAGGAAGACTGCCAATCTGGATGACAGCTTTGATTCGGTACTGTGCCATCCCCTCACAGTTTTGAAGGGCTCCTGGACTCAACGTCATCATCAGATGCAATGCAGGTGATGTATGGAAACTTTAGACTTTTCCCAAGGAAAGCTGATTAACCTATGATCCATGTCTCAGTTATTGTGAGAGTACTGGGTCTACTCTGGGTAATGCATTTCGTGTGGTGCCACCCCAACAGATATTCTGGCATCAGCAACTGGTACAGAATGTAGCAGCTGGAACACTTATAGAAATTAGGCACCTTACTCGTATTATCTCTCCTGCATTGCCTACATCACCTATTGTAGTTGTTGTTTTTTGGGCATTTGCATGCTTTCGAACCGCTAGGTTGGCGGGAGCTGGGACAAGCGACAGGCGCTCACTCCGTCGCGTGGATTCGATCTTACAACTGCTTGGTCTTCTGACCCTGCAGCACAGGCTTCTGCGGTTTAGCCCACAGCGCCACCACGTCCCTTCTTCACCTATTGTAGTTGTTGTTTATTTGTTTAGTCGTGTCTGACTCTTCGTGACCCCATGGACCAGAGCACGCCAGGCCCTCCTGTCTTCCACTGCCTCCCAGAGTTGGGTCAAATTCATGTTGGTAGCTTCGATGACATTGTTCATCCGTCTCGTCCTCTGTCGTCCCCTTTTCCTCTTGCCTTCACACTTTCCCAACATCCGGGTCTTTTCCAGGGAGTCTCCTCTTCTCATGAGATGGCCAAAGTATTGGAGCCTCAGCTTTTTTTTTCACCCTGGAATGTCTTATTCAGGGATGGGCAAAGCACAGGACTACAACTCCTATCAGACTGTGGTGAGGGATGCTGGGAGTTTCAATCCAGCATCCTGGCTGAAGATGAATACATTCAATAACACTTGGAGGGCTGCACTTAGTCCACCCCTCCCCTAAATGGTTTGGAACCCCATTTTCTGAAGGATCAAAGCTACATCTAGCTATGATGGCTCATTCTAGTGTAAGATCAGCAGATCTGACCTCCCAGTGAGAAACGTTAATCTCATGGATAGCAAGGATGGGGCTTAAAAGAAACCCAAGAAATTCCAAAGATTCATTTACTCCAGAGTGCATTCAGTGCTCAACAAAACCCATTAGCTGCTGGTGTGTAAATAATTATAACTGTTTATCATTCTGTAATCACATGAATCACTTTGTGAAGCCAGTGTATCCCTAAAAGTCTACTAAATAAATATTTTAACTAAACAGATAAAATGTATCCAGAGAGATTAGTTTATATATATATTATATATATATTTAAACACAGTGACTTTTTCAGCATGAGATATAGAACCAGCAATGACAGTAAGCGAAGAAGTTTTGAAAAGAGGAATCAGGTTTCGAATTCAAATTCCCAGAATCCCCTGCCAGCAAGTCCAGCAAAAGAACTTTGCCAAGCTGCGGGGAAGGCCTTTCTGGATGATGTGGTAGGCGTGTTTCTCAGAAATACGAGTTTTACATAAGAGGAAACAGAAAGCTGAAATATGTCTCACAGATTGTGCAATACTGTTCATCCAGTCCTACTAACTGAGACCATGTCATTCCAGGAAAAAAAATGTAAAGACAAGTTGGAAACTGGGTATTATGACTAAACAACACTTTCCAGATTGTGGAAGAAACACTAACTCACTATGGTGCATCCATGCAAAATGTCTTGATTGGCACCATGAGGCTCATGGGTTATGATGGTACACTCTGAACAACCATGATGTGAGAAGACACTCTGGCCGTCTCCTATACCATAGAGCTTCTAGGAGGGCTGTCAACGTTTGAACACAGTGGCAAGGATTGTGTTCCAAATGGCTGCCATGGCAGGGGAAGGTCTGTTCCCCAAAGCTTGTGCGTTGGTCACTGCGACCCTGTGAAACTGAAGAAGCTGTCTACCCTTGTCCTTTGTCAATAATCACCAACAGGCATGCCGAGTGTGAACGATGGGTGATGTAGGAAACAATCGGTAGACTTTTACAGGGCAGTCAGAAACATGGCCATAGATGTTATCATTACAAGATTTGCAGGTGGAATTAGAATTGGCATGCTCAGGCATTGGCTGCTGCATGTTTAAAATCGAATTATCTTTAATGCTGGGAAATCTACACTCTTCCGCTGAAAAGGGAGGCCTCTCCTGACCTCAGCTACCCAACTTCGGTCCAGGTTCACCAGCCCAACTGGAAAGTCAACTTCAGTCAGAGCAACCAGGCCCTTGACATTAACAAAAGAGGGTTGATTAACCCTTTCCTAGGCAGCAGAGAAAGAACACACAGTGGAAAGAAAAGGCCCGTCTTGGAATCTTCTGGATCTACACTTTTTCAGTGGCCGTACGAACCACCAAGCAAAAGACACACTCTGTTCTCATGCTCCAATGAAACAGGATTGCCAGCAGAGGTGACACACACCGCTCTCAACAAGCTTTAGTTTCAAAATTTCCTTCAAAGAAGAAACACTGCTTTGACTAATGCAGTTGACTAAAGGCATGCCTTTTTGCTGTCCTAGTTTAGCCACACGAATGGCCAACTTTATGGCACACCTTAGCAAGGCTATTCCTTTAACGACAGATCCCAAGTGCCCCAGCGAACGGCCCTTTATGCTTATACCAGCTGGGGATTTTGGGCGTTGCAGTCGAATCCAAACTGGCCCAAACTTTTCTAAAAGAATCCTTCTTCTCTGATCCCAAACAACCATCTTATAACACACCTCTTATAGGCACAACAGGGACCCAAAAACAGGACTGAAAAACATGCCCAACTCTCTGAAAAGACACCCCACACACACCCATGACCCAGAGACGGCGCTTTTCACATCTTGTATGTGGAACACTCCAGAGAACTTTTAGACAACTGCCTGTCAGATCTTCTTTGCTTTGGATTCCTGCCTTGAGCAAGGGGCTGAACTCGAGGGCCTTGGAGGCCCCTCCCAACGTCATCATTCTGTGCTTCTATTAATTCTGTGATTGTAAAGGATTCTGCGATGCACCGCACATTGCACACGGGCTTCCCCCGAGTCCATACTCCTGCCTCAACAGGCCACTGTGGTTGTTTATAGACTCCGGGCCACCTATCCTTGAACCTCACAGTGCTCACCGTCTCCATAAACACACACACAGAGAGAGAAACATGACCAGGGAGCGAAGCCCTGTTGAATGGGGCACCTTTTTCCTCCCAAGTACATAAGTTGCACAGACTGGTTCTTGGAAATCTCTCCGTGAGGAGCGTTTGGCTCTTCTTTCCTGTGGTCTCCGGCGAGGCAATCCTATCCAAGGAGACTTATTCTTCACTGTTGGAAGTCTGCAGAAAGCCAACGCGCTCAGGACGCCGGCCAAAGCCATTGACCAACCAAGGCGGAAATAGCACTTTTGCGCCGCACACATCATGGTGGACACATCCACACAACCCCCGACTCACGCCGGAGGGACCGCAAGCCCTTTCCACGGGAACATATACACTCCGGCGTGGAGCCCTCACCTGAGCACGGAGCGCCCTTTCCCCACCCCCACCCCCGCGCCATCATCCTACAGGAGAGACGGGGGACTCACCTCCGTCTTGCTGCTGTACTTCAGGCCCGAATCGTACGCTTTGGCTCCCGGGGGCGGGTGATAAATGTTCATTTTCTTTTCCTTAGGAGGCCGGTAATCCTTCATCGAGAGACTTGGCTGGAGCCTTCTCTTCGGGAAGGAGGAGGTAATAAAAGGAGGGCCGAGAAGAGGAAGATTTAAAAAGAGAGAGACTAAGTTTTGAAGACTTCCCCTCTCTTTTTTTTTCTTTTTCTTTTTCACACGCTCCCAATAATTCTCACAGCCCTTCCTAGTCGGGCCGGTGGGGAGCCTTGAACTCGTAGCCGCGGCCAGATCCTTTTCTCCGGCGGGGCTTCACCAGCTTCTCGGAGGCGCCCCACTTCTTCTCCTGGAGCCGAAGGGGAGAAAGCGACGCCGCGCCGATCTTGCTGGAGGGCCCTCCCTCCACATCCGGCCCTGGAAATGTGACTCCGTCCCAACCTGGTGCTTTTATGAGCTCTTTCTCGCCTCCCCCACCCCACCCCCTTTCTTCTTCTCCTTCTTTTTCTTCTTCTTCTTCTTCCTCCTTCTCCTCCTGCTCTCTCTCCTTCTTGCTTCGCTGTCTGCTCCGCTTTCTCTCTCCTCCCCGCGCCTTCCTGGTGCGCCCGGCTGAGCGCAGGTTTCAAGGGCGCGGCCGAAGCGCTCCCGGTTGGTTCGCAGGAGACTTACCTGGGCTTACCTGGCCCCGCCTCCCCTCCCTCCCTCCCTCCCTCCCGCCAGGTGCAAAGGGCAGGAGATCGGCTCATTCCTAGGGTCGACC